TGGCAGCACCAAACCTTTTTGGGCATCCATTTATTGATACGAATCATTCAAAAACAGCTTGTTTTAAACACTATTCTTTCTGGGCTATTTTAAGAACAAAAAACCCAACATTTTTTAATTTTTCCACAATATATTTTATAAGTAGGCATCAATGATTAATGAAATGTCCTTATTTCACAAAAAAAAAAGTAATGGAACCGTTTTAATTTTGAATGTTTTCATCGCGGTTTCAGTATGAAACCACCGCCCCGCTAAGACATTGAAGAAAGGATCAGATGACGCAGTCGCGAGATTTTTTACAGCTGTGTTTATTGCTTTCGGATCACTGCTGTGAATAGTTGCACCATATCTTCGTTTTAGTGGCTTCAAAAATGAGGATTTATGGGGCTTTTGAGAGAGGGAAAACATTTCTTATTTTTTACAGAGACACAGAGCACATCATAGTTGCGTTTTTATTCTGCTTCTCTTAGCCGTCGCTTTTCTCATGCTTCTAGTTTACAGTAAAATATTTGTATACATCTAAATTTAATTTATTTTCACATATAATTTTCTTAGTTTTTAACATAATTTTTTTTTAATATTTCATAGTTTTATGTAAGTAATTTACATAAGAAAAATTATTAGTAACTTTTTGTCTCATATTTTTGTTTCCTGTTTTAAATTTTTTATTTATAATTAAAAATGCGTGTTTATGCAAATATTACTTACTTCATTAGTTGTTCAGTAATTTACTAGTATAATCTGCAATTTGGTTTACGTTTAAATACTTTCCAGCAAAGTAAAGATAAATAAGCAAATGTTTAGTCTTAAATGCTCTAGACGGGCGCTAGTTTCAAGGCGAAACCGGTTCCCTTTCCAGAAAGGGGGACGAAAAAAAATTTTAGAACTTATTTATATTGTCTATAGGACCCATTGCATGTCATTATGCTTACTTTTTCATAACTTTTAAAAATCATAACATTGCGCCCCTGAAAGGGTTAGTTAAGCAATATTAATGTAAGAAGTCCTTTAAAGTAAATATAAACCTCTTTAAATAATGCTTTTCCACTTTACACATTTTGAGATGCAATTAATAATGCAGTATTTATTGCATTATTAAAAAAATTTCAATAAAAATTGCACTAATGCTGTTCTCTTATGAAATTCTTCTGGTGCATTTTATAAGGAGAATTTATTCGTACCTTTCTCAAATCATTTAATGTTCTCTCTGTTTCAGAATAGGAATATAATCAATATAATGAACTGAGGAAGAACTGATACGAAGAAGGAGTTGCAATGACAAAATTTCAAGTACCGTGCGTCTGCCACAAGTTAAAATATTTCATCTTAGAACAAAAACTATTTTTAATTAGTATTTTGACCAAAGAATTCTCTCTTTTTCCCTATAATGAAAGTGTTACATATTCTTACACGGTTTAGAGAGTAAAACAAAGGACTTCTTGGACGAAGAAAATGTAAATCAGATGTTTGACCTCTTTTTTTCTGACATAAGGTTGGCTTTCAAGGTGTTGTGGTTTTGCCTTTCACTCATAATTTAATCGGGCACACCTTTTGCGCCAAATTCTTCAGTCAGAACGTGGTCAAAATTTACGCCATTTGCATTTCTAGATTCTCCCTAAAGCAAAATTGTGCAATTATTTTAAATATCAGGCGTAACACTCTTTGAATAATAAAATGAAATGTTATTGAAGTGCGGTAATTTAGGCATTATACATTAATGAGTTCTGCCACGCAAAATTTGAAATTTCTATCTTTTATATTGAAAAAAATTTCATACCCAGATATTTTTACATTTTCGGTCAGTAATAGAAAGAAATAATATGTAACTCACATTAATACGGGAGAGATCAAGCTAGCATATCGCATTAACATACGCAATAATTTCTAAGTTAAGCGTGACTAATCAAATCGATACGCATCAATGTGTATTGATACCAAGATCATGTATTTAACATCGATATCTAATTTTTTCTCATGTTATGAGAAATGGTAAATATAAAAAAAAAATTTAAAACTTTTAGGTGATATCTAAAATAATAATAAAAAAAATTATAGTCTGAGAACTTCAGACTGAAATCGAACACCTCGAAGCGTTCAATATTAAAATTTAAAAACAAATAAAAAATACAAAAGTCATTATATTAAAATAAAAGCTGAAATCTTATTTTAAAATACAGATTTCAGTTTAACACTAGATTCAGGGGTCCCACGATTTTGACGGTATTCGGACATCATGAACAAAATTACAAAATCCCTTATTTTTATAGTTTTCTAATTTATGCTGACAGTTATCGATGCAATGAGACCAATACATACCCAAATCTATTTCCCCCTTCAGCCCTTTAATTTCAGAGTTCTGTATGATGTATACCCATCTCTACGGAGAGCTATTTTCGTAGTTAATTATAATCAACCGGATTTTTTTTTTTTTTATGAAATTACCTTTTTGGTGACAAATGAAAAATAGTTAGAAAGTAGATACTAAAATCATAATTCAGTGGAAATACCTTTAGATAACTTTGAACCTAATATCAACGAACCGCGATTCGCCAGAGCAAGGGATATATCACATGTGATTATCTGTCAATCATACCCGTAAACATAAAGCGTTAGGTTCCAAACAAGGAAGGATCTGCAGTTGTTGAGTTAGGCAATATATCAAGACGCTTTAGAAAAATTTCGGTTAATGCGAATATAAACTATCGAGAAGAAAGTATTAGATTATTATGGAGTGTTAGCAATAACATTATAGAATTAGAGGAAAGTACTAGTTTTACCTTATTATGACGAAGTACTCTTCTTCAGTCTTCATGAGTAATTAAAGAAGAGATATTGAATTGCTAGAGAGAATAGTTAGTATTAGCTAAGATTTGCTCCGGTAAGACTGTTTACACTAAAACAGCCCTGTCTTCTTTTACATCGATAAAAACAACTACAAATCCGTTAAATTGTTGTTTATCGAGAGTTCTGCTGCTAAGATTGTAAGTGTTTTTAAATTAAATTATTTGCTTTTTTTTCCCCAAGAAAATACGTGATTTTTTATTCACGTCAATTAGATGGGTGGCCGTAAATATAGACATACAAAAACCCGTAAACCTATTATAACTGGACAGATAATTTATCTGCCTTTTTTATCTACACTTTTAAATGTCCTTTTTATCTTGATTTAGCTTATGGGGAAGATGAATTAATGATTTTTAATAATTTACATCTTCCTTGATACTGAATATCCTCTCCAAAATTTTGACTCCTTTTTTTAAATTTTAAATTACCTAACTTGTTAGTGGTAATTTTCATCTTGGGGGAAAGGTGTGTTTTCTCTTTGAAATTTCTCTGAATATTTCTGAAATTTGAAAAAACGAAGTAAATTTGATTAAAAAGCTCTCGGCTATAACATATGATATGATTATTATATTCCATGTGTTTCCATAAAATCTCATTTAGTCTTCTAACTCCTACTTCCACAACTTTTATGTATAAATATCTTAAATTAATTCTGAACCTTTCTCATCATCTGCTGCGTTAAACGCGTTAAATTTGTATCATTTAAATTTATCAACTGAAATATTTGTTCAAGAAAGTGCAATATGTTGAAAGTCGTATAAACATTCAATAGATTAATAATTTCAGAAGGCCACTACTCTTTTTTATTCAAAAATATTCTTGTTAATTCAAATATGTGTTAAAGATATGAAACTGTTTATGAAATATTTTAGCATTAAGATTGTCACGGAAGCTTAGTACTCCAAGTTAGAAGCTCCAAGTACATAACTTTTAAAGAACACATTTCTTTTAAAAGTGAACGTTCTGGCTTTCCATGCTTATATGGAAATGCAAATTTAAAGCAATAATTTGAATATTATATCAAATTGTAATTTAACATGGTTTCCGGAAGTTCCTGATTTGGCTCTAGCATATTAATCTTATTCAAATTTGCACTTCGTGAGAACTAAAAGGTTTGAAGAAACATATTTTTTAATTGCTCATGGTGAATGTTAGGTGCGATATTTTTAGCACAGAATGCGAAGTATACATTTTTTGTAATAACGCAAATATTTGACGTAGCATGAAATGTAACGTCTCATAAATACAGTAAATATAACCAACAAAAAAAACTCTGTCCATATGAAACTACTTCAGGAAGCAATTTTATTTTTAAAAAGTTGTGTAATTTAATTAATATAACTAATTATTGGAGAAGTCAAACAACATGAATCAGCGTAATCTTTGTAATACATATATTTACAAAAGTTACGCTGATTCATGTTGTTTGACATCTCCAATAATCATTATTCGGTGTGTTCTTTTAACCTAAAATTAAACTACTACTTAATAACTTTAATTTTGATTTAATTTTTCAATCATATTTATAACTTACGTAATTTATAAGACAGATTTTTCGTTGGATTTTCAGCGTACTTATTGAATAAATTTTACAATGTATATTTTCAGCATTTTTGTAAATAACAAAAAGATATTTCTAATGCCATATATCATATATAAATCTGTATAAAATAATCGTTTTCAAGCCGACTAACGTCAATTTTTTCCTCTTTTTTCTTTTAAGAAATATTTATTTAAAGAACTTATTTATTTAAAGAAATATTTTCACAGTTGAGCATTCTTTTGAAGAAAGCAATAAAGAAAAAAAAAAAAAAGAAGTCCAACATAAGCATTTTGTTACCGATACTGTTTGCAAATATGCTCTATAACTAACATTTAGAATAATTAAAAATTTCCTATTCCCCTATAAGAATCTTCAGCATCATACCACCATAACACCAAACATGATCGAATATGCTCTTAACAAGATTCAGAATTGGAATGCATATATCCTGTATCAATTTTGTCTTCTTAAGCCGTGTAATTTCATGCGCAATATATTTTTTTCAAATGGAAACTTGAAGCAAAATAGCATTCGCTAATTTAAACTGCAGCAGTTTTAAAATTTGTGAAGATGACCAGAATCGCTAAAATAAAGTTTAAATAAATTACTCTACCTGTCATACAGATTGTCATAACGAATGGCACTGGATGACCCACAAGCGTCGTTACGTCCAAATGGGCGCCAGAACGATCCAGCACATGCTTCAGAACGTATGTAGGGATCCGACGGATCAACAGGAACTTCTAAATCTTTCCCACCTTCCTGTTGATCGACTACAAGAAGAATGAATTTTTTGGAAAATGGCCATTCTAGCAAAGGATCATATTCCCCTTCCAGAAGGGTCAGAAATAATCCTACGTGCCCATCAGTTTTATTTTGGAATTTTATTTGTAGCTGCATCAAATATCCTTGGTCAGAAGAGTAGAACCTTTCACTTAGTAAGTTGCTGAGACGATCTGATTTGGCCAACTGCATCTGAAATTTATAATATAAATGAGTAGCTGTTCTGATGTAAATATCAAATAATCTATGAAACATTCTCGTAATAATAAAGTGTTATTTAGAGATAAATCATGCAACAGACTAATGTACTCAAGAATATCGTCTTAACATTTATAAATACAACCTGTTATTCATATTCTTAGGAATAACGGCGAGCGGACTGGCTGCATGGGCGTTTTTGTGATTTTCCCCTTATGTAACGTGTATGCGAACCAGTTTCCCCTACAAAGTCCCCCCCGAAGGCATCCCTCCCCTTAGGTAAAGAGTCCTCGAGTGCTTTGCCGTAATTAAGTAAATCGACCTATCCTTGGAAAAACTGTGCTAATAATATAATATTTTAGTACTCATTCGAAATCATGAACGTAGTAACAATTTTTACACATCTGAAAAGAAAGGAAAGAAAATTCCCTTCCAACATTTTTATAAGAACTATCGGAGAGAATGATTTTAAGTGTTTCCTACTTTGTGTAGATACTGCAATCACTTAAGTCCATGCCTTTCTCTGAATTCATTTTTCCATCTTTCGAAAAGGAAGCAGCTCTTTTTGAGAGATATTTCTTGATCAAGTGGCAGTTATGTTATAGGACAATTAATGAGAATTAATTGTGAATACGAACGAATAACGAAAGAATATGCTCTAAACTATAAAGTCGACGCACACACAAAAAAAAAATTGCAATACATTACATACACAAATATTTTTCGATTTCACATGCTAATGATGAAGATTTAGCTTCCAATAAAGTCAAAGCCGGATCTTCAGCTTCAGTGCATCAGAATTGAGCTTTCTAAAGATTTATTAATTAGAGAAACTCCATTTAAGAACAGAATTACCATAATAATTGCATTCATTTAAAAGAGTTTCAGAAAAAAAATAATTTACTCAGTTTTGTATTCCTATTATCTGAATTTATTGTTCAGTTCTCTTTATTATTACAATTGTTTAGAGGAAAATTTGGGAGTAGAAATAAGATACAGAAGTATATAATAATAGAAATAGAGAATCAATGAATGGTTTTGTTTCTTATCTGTTTTAAATGAACGCGGTTTATTTTAATGGCGGTCATACTCCTCGACTGTAGCAATGCCTCTTTACGGACTCGCTGTCTATATGACCATTATGTCACAACTTGAAAAGGAGCATTCCAATACAGTGAAGGAGTCTGGAGGGATAAACTGAAAATTCCCATCTTATTTCGGAGGTACGATGCAGCTATTAGGCGATGCTGGCAAGATAAAAGAGAAATAATGGCAGATTTCGGCATCAAGAGGGCAGCAATCGACCCAAGAAAGGGAAGATAAAGTGTTGGTCACGGAGGATCTTATAACACCGCAATTTTCGTCTGTATCAACCCGCTCAGAAATGAGCGCTAAGACCACTGATAGGCGAAATCAGAGAGCGAATTCCACATTTGACGTTAAATTCTATTGCAGTGGTTCCAGTCTTGATCGATCTAGAATCGCATTGACGGCATCTTCATTGGTGAGTTCTATTTTGATCTGATTCCCAACGACCAGTCCACATGCGTCTCATGACGTTCACCCAGTGTTAGGATTCTTTTATTTTCACACGGTACACAGGCTGATTAATAGGGAGTTATGGTTTGGGTTTCATTTCTTTGATAGCCGGTTACATCTGATAGTCATCCATGATACTTCTACAGCACAGGTATACGTTTATAGAATTCTATCACCCTTTCTACTGTAAAGACCTTATTTTATCCAATTATTATTAGTTTGGAAAACTTTCCTTTCTCTTCTCATTTCAGTTTCCTGCCGGAATGTAAATTTTAATGACGTAGTATGCAAAATCTAAGTGCATCCAGAAGCAGTATTTAAGCTGCGTTTCAAGAGTTCGTGAGGAATAGTAGCATAGTTAGTTCCGAGTTTATGCTGCGTGTTTGAAATTAACTCTCTAGTTTGTGTTGGACACCCTTCAGATTATATTGATATTCCAAGCTCGGCTTTGCTGTGTGCAGCCGACTGAGAACAAGAGATGTGTTTTTTAAGAACAAGAGATTAAAATTAGGAAAAAATATGTTGCCTAAGGTATATTGTTTGAAGGATGTCTTATGCTCTTATTTATTCTGTTAGTTCAAAAGAATTTTGTATCAAAATTATATGAACTTATTTTTGTCAAACATCCGTTTGGTGTAAAACCTTTCTAAATCAAAATAGACATTTGCCATTTAAAAATTGAAAATTGTGTAACGAGAATAAAAAGAAACATACTAAAAATGTTTCTGAATGAAAAAAAATGTGAATGAACATATATGGAAAATGCATATTAAATTCATGGAAACAAAAATAATCTTACCTTTCTTTCAATATTAGGTACTCTCCACTTGTATTCAGACACTAGGAAATTGTCTCTAACAGATAGTTTTGCAAAATGGGGCATTTGATCGAGAATTGCAGAGAATCTGACTAACAAGCTTCCATTGCGTTTGAGATTTTTCGATTCTAGCATAGGAAAAGTAATGAGTTTCCTGAAACCACAAGGTACGTTAGGCTGATAACGCGGCTTAGTAAATGCGGCCAAAGGACATGTTCCAGATGTCGGATCGATACTTCCTTTCCTGTCATGGTTCAAAGGCGATGGATCCATGATAGCCAATTCAAAATGATAGGCGAATGGCCAGTGCAAAGAATCGTCGTAATCACCTGGGACTAAAGTGGCAAAAACTCCAATATCATCACCTATGAAAGAAATCTGAAGTACCATCAAGTAGCTCTCACTGTTGACGTAGAATAAATCACTTGCAACTTGTCCTAAGTGTCGTTTTCCGTCCACATCTTCCACCTAAAATCAAGAACATGGGGATGCATGAACTTCTGAAATAAATTAGATGCAAATATGATTCTAATGTTTCTTTAGCTATCAGAGTTTTCACAAAACTTTCACATGCAATCGTTAAAAATCCCTCATTTCATGTTCTAACATAATTTTAGTTCTTTTATTATAAATGCTCGATTTTTAATTTTTTATTTTTTTTTAAAATTTATTATATCTGTACTCTGCTCCTTGATAATGAAATCACTGTAGGTTCTTACCTTAATATTAAGTTCTTATCAACTTCCGAGACTATTTACATAGATTAAATACCAAACATTTGACAAAAAAGAATAATTTGCTTAAAAAACTCCATTAAAATATGACAAAATGCTACTTAAATATTGGTTATTTTTTTAAACAGGCGAAAATAATTTTTTCCGGACAATTTATTTCGACCAATTATTTTCTTATGTTTATGTTATGTATGAGCTTATAAGGTATTTTGCATTAAATTTACTATATTATATTAATAAAAAGGTATTTTAAAAACATAAGCCTGGGTACTAAAGCCAGTTTAAGTATTATTAAAAGATAAGCAATATACTCAGAAATATATTTAGTGCAGTTATTGATTAGCGACGATTCTAAAAAGAGACTTCAGTGTTTCTGCTAACAACGTAGTGCACGTTATTGTGATACTTCAGCCTGTGTCCTCCGTTCAGCATGGCATTCCGGAGATAATCTTATAGTGACTTTTCTCTTGAGAGCGGAAAATCCTGAGTCGATTCTTTGTGAATGTATTTTCACGTGATCCCAAAAGAAAAGTATATTAGATATATTATATTGGTATATTATTATATTGGTAAAACTAGGTTCCATAAAAGAAACTAAACTAAAATGTACTTATTAATTTTATTTAACATATTACCTTATGAAAAGAATTTTTAATCAACTGGCATCAGCTTTAAAAGGTGCTGTTGTACTCTATACTAATGAAGAATTATGAGCTTCTATTCTTCCTGGTACTTCGTACAGGACAAATAAAAAAATTGCATTAAGTTGCAGTTACCAATGGCACGAAACTGCATCATCATTATGTTTCGAATACTCTGCACTGAATGCAGTTTAAATGACTAAAGTAAATTTATAAGACCCTTTTTCTCTTCATTGGCTGTTGAATGCATTTAAATTAAATACGACAGTATTTGTTTCTAATTATATAGATAGATTGATATAAACAGATAAATAGATAAATATGATGATTCAACTAAGCGTATGCAAACACCTAGGAGAAGTATGTTGCATAGAGATAAATGAAGTCCTCTAGTAATGCAGGGTCGAAAACGTCATCTTCATGCGCTCGTCACTCAAATATGACATTAGTATATCGGGCTTGGTATTGTGTTCATCGAAACGTAGATTTGCTGGACTTGCATACCTTGGTTATTTCTGGGTTTACATCAAAGTGCTAGTGTACTAACACCCCATTTAATGTGATGAGAAACATAACACGCATTTCTATAGCTGCTTCGAAGTCCAAGACAAAGTAGAAATTTTTTAAAATGTATGAAATTGCATGTGCCGACAATGTTAAGCACGTGTTGCAGTTCATAGTTGCAACACGTGAATATCTTCTGTAACCTCACAGCATTTTGGAAAAGTTTCGTGCATAATAAAAAGCATTTAAATGCAATTAAAATTTTAAACATTTAAAAGCATTCTTCTCTTACTGTTATTCTCTCATTTCCCGTCCCTTCTATGCAATACCACATCTAGATAGCGTTTTCGATCTTGCACTGCTATAGAATTCCGATTTGTCTTTGTACGACTTACTCCTCCGAGAAACACAGGGTGACCACAAATTTCCTGAACAAATTTATAAGCTTGTTTTTTGTAAGTGAAACAACTTGTACGTTTGGACTTATACGTACTTATACGTTTGCACTTTCATAAGCTAAGTTCAAAGATTTTGAGACAAATTACACAACCTCAACATGCTCACAGTTGATATTTCTAGGTATGCAATGTTCAACGGCAAACCATTTCTTTAGCATAACCCCGCAGAAAGAAGTCGAAAGGGGTTACATTATGGAAATGCTGTGGCTGTGGAATGGGTCCATCCCTCCGGATCCATCTGTTGAGGAAAATTTTGTCGAGAAAACTGCGAACACTGCGATGGCGCGACATTCTGCTAAAACATTACCTCTGAAGGGCATTTCTACAAAAGTAGGCAAATGTAATTAATCGGTATATAGACGCAAACTCCAACTTACGTTTACTCTGAGAAGAAAATAGTCCTAAAATCTTATCATGCAGCATCCCACTCCAAACATTCACTTTCGAGCTGTCCTACTCCAACTTTGCTGCGGCATGAGGATTTACGAATCCCCAAATTCTAACACTATACCAGTATTTAACTAAACAAGTTGTTAGGAAAAGACTTTGATACACATGGAATAACATTATAAAAAATCGCAGCATTACCTCTCACAACTTTCCACAGTAACAGGGTAAAGTTTTTCAGTTACTTTATGGACACCCTGTATAAACACGTTTCGCTAAATCTACCTGAGATGAGAAACTTGTTGGACTGAAATCGCAATTTATCTTAAAATCCATCAGAATATTAACTTCTCTTTGCTTTTTAAACCTTCTGCTTTTAAAGATTTGTGACACTTTAAATATCCCTATACAACAGCGGCTAAGCATAATGACTAGATGTCAGAGAAATTACATGAAGAAATCCTGAAATTGGCTATGTTATTTTTTTAATCATTTTAAGAATTTTTTTTTATTTCTGGGATATTACTACTACGATTCATCTGTGTTATTAGCGATAATTTCTAATTTCTAATTACGCTTTTTTTCAAGTATTTTATTTTTTAAATGAACGTGATATGCTTTCCTCTTACATTTTAAGTTTATTTCAAAAGTATATTGTGGCATTTCTGTCAATTTATTCAATACCTAGACCCTTATTAACTGAATATGTATTACTTCAAAGGAGAGTAGAAATGATGTTCATAAAACAAGGTATCTAAGTCAGAATACAACATACACATTGTTAATGTTGCATTTGCAGGCTGAAAATTTAATGGAACATTTTCCGAGTGTGATCTATAATTCTGGGAGTCTTAAACATAGGGAACCCAATAGGCTAGTGAAACCTTATTAATGATTAAGCATAGGTACTTGCTTTAAATGTTTTAAAGCAGTATGTATATAACTGAATTTTGAACTGATCCAGGATTTAAGTTCAAAGTAAACAAACTCTCTTTTTACAAAATTACTGTTCGTGATACCCGAAATAAAAGAACAGTAATACCAGTTCATATATCTGGGTGGATGAAGATCAAGTACAAAGCACTGTAGCACTATAAGGCAAGCGTCAGATTTAACGCACATCACAATAGATTGAAATGATGAAAGTAAATTAAGGTCAACATTTTTAAGGAACGTTTCAGCATATATAGCAAAAATGTTGCAGTTATACGTCAAATTGGAACTTTCTAGTAATAACTGTTCTTGCTATTGCAATTTCAACAAACTGAAACGTGCTACGATTAACCTCAGATAACACATTTTATTCAGTTATAATAAGCTAAAATTATGTTCATTCAAAATTATCAGAAACAGTGTTTACCACTCACTTCCCAAATAAATTCGGAAACTAGCTGATGTCCACGCATGAACACTTTGGCTCTCTTTGGTGTCGAGCCTCTTCCTTGGAGGAATACAGTGGCTCTCAGTAGCAGTTCGTCGTTCATTAAAAATGGGCTTGGAAGTCCATTTTCATCTTCCAACAAACGAGCATGTGAAACAAAGAACGCCTTTCCACAACCATCTCCTTTGCGACGTCCTTCAGATCTTGGACGTAGGAACTGTTTCCTCAGACGACATATTGCGGTCATCGGATTCATGGTTAAATGAACAGATTGAGATGGATCTGTGCGAGCCACTAGTGTTAGATTGAGAGTATACTGAAAGGGCCATTCGATGACATCATCGAAAAGACCAGGTACAAGAGAAAACCAAACTCCAAGATATGGCAAATTGTCGACGGGATTTATACGCCCAGCTGTCAGGCTCAGCCTGACTTTATATCCGGGACGACCAGTATAGAACTCAGGTCCTGGAATAGTGTCTCCATGAGGTGATCTTGATAACTGAAGAAGATGTCGGACGTTAGAGATTGACCAATCGTATTCGGCAACTATAGGACCTGTTTCTGTTTCTTTTATTTGGGCCGCAGGTACTCTTTCATCTGGAAATAAAAAATACAAAAAGGCTTTATTACACTCTGCTTTTCATTGTTTTTCTTTTTCTTTTCTATTAGACGTGCCTGTATTGCAAAAAAAAAAAAAAAAAAAAAAAAAAAATTCCTGCATTTACTGTTTAACTATTTTGACTTAGCTTCTAGTTTTTTCTCAGCTTTTATACTTTTTCTTAATATCCAGGCATCCTTTTAAATGCAAGCGTTGGATATCAATCAGAACACTCTGAAACATAAATAAATCTGCAGACGTTTTCTCAGTTTCCATCTTACTTATTCTTAACCACATTATAGATAGGAAGTGTAAACAAATCTACATGAATGAGAAAGTTATTTAGAGAACAATAACTTGTATCCCTGGTGTAGGTAAATGTTGTTCGATAATGTAGTGAAATTATCGATAATGCCTCTAGATATCAGCATCCACATTTGTTGGATATTATGCTCAGACTCCTGTAAAAGAAGTATAAACCAATAAATATGATCACTTCTGAATGATGTTCATATCAACAATTTGTAAAGTTTGGGCTTCGACTGGGAATTAAACCCAGAATATTCAACCCAGGTGGGGAGGCAGATATTACACTAGACAAGTCAGTACTAGCTTTTAATAGTTTCTACTTTAGTATCATAGCTCTTGAAGACATGACCTTCGATTTATAAAGGGTAAGACGTGACCGGAGAGCCCCTTTATAAATCGCAGATCAAGATAACCTATCTAAAAATTTTAGAGCTGAACTCATTGTTGTTTTGGGAGCAGTGCCGTCAAATATAGTATATTTATTAAATTATCACTCTTAATAATAGCTGTTAAAAAAGAGCTGCAGTAATTCAACTTGATTGAATCTAAAAGGAATCGTAGGCAATGCTCCCGATTAAAAATTTGTGAACAGTTAAAATAAAGGACTCGTATTATTTTTTGCAAGAATTATATATATTTTTTTTTTTTTGCTTTTCAGAATTTTCAAAAAAATTTTTTTGTATATATAAAAGCCCGGCTAATAATTTCAAATGATTTCGATATTAATTCAAATTTTTACTAGCTATAAAAAATTTTGGAGTCGCTTGTTCCCGCAAAGTTTTAAATTTTTATAAAATATTACAAAAACGACAAAAAAATCAAATGCTTATTTAATAATGCAATTAAAAAACTTTTTAGGATAACTTTTTGAGGCTCAAGGACCTACTCTCGCAATTCTATGTAACCTTAAAAAAGATTTATATAGCTTTAAAAATTTATATCTTTCAAATACCACCACATTTCAGATGCCAAAATGAATAAATTAATTTTTAATAAAAATATTTGTGAAAGTTATATGCACATCTAACTAATACTGGAGGATCCGTGTTTCGAATGTGCGAACACGGTTGATTTTTAATATTTCCGGTACCGAAAAGGCTACAGTTTTTGCCATAATGGCTCTGAACTAAAATATAATTACTGTCTAGATTTGGTTCACCTCTCCCTGTGCCCTTCATTCAGGAAAAATGGAAGGAATTACCCGTGAATTCTGTCGTGATATGAGTGGTTTGCAGACCCAACTAGCATAGGAAGATTTGGGGTTGGAATTAAGGCGAAGACGGAACGTTTCAAGGAATTCCTTCACCAAAAAGACCTGATACTTTCTGCATTTACCACCTTTAAATAATCTAAATACATTTTAAATAAACAAGAATTCTTTATTCTCATCTTTTGCGTTAATTACAGATTTATTTTCGAAATCCAAGTTTTAAGAAACAAATTCTACATGGATTGTATTTAATTTGAGACTTTTCAAAACCGAAGCGTTGTTTATTGAAAACTTCTTTCATCGTGATAGCACGTATTAAAGCAATTCATTTTCTTAAAACAAGACATATGCAATCAGATCAGTGGCGTAGCGAGAGGGGGGCAAGGGGGTGCATGATGCCCCGGGCGCCGCTCGTACAGGGGCGCCAAATGGTCTCCAAACAAGATTTTCCGGAAAATTTCAGTTTTTATTTTGACGATTCTGGAAAATATATTTAAAATTAATAACTATTGTAATATAATTAATTATTTATTTCTTGATTTGTGTAATAAAATGCTTGCAGAGTACATCAGCCAAAACGTTGTTTCTGAACCACTGTTATTTCTCTAAAGTAGAGATATATTTTTAATTTTTAAAACGAAATGCACATATATCTCCCACTTTTATTTTAAAACGATAACCGGACCTTGTCCCGAATTTCTCAAATATATCCAGTTTCCAAAATCCGATTCCATAATCTGGAAATGACATTTTTTTTTGAGATTTCGCTACAATGGATGCGTTTGACTCTCCTGTAAACGCTGATGGCCTTCCTGGCTACTGATTCAATAAGTCATCTGCTGAGACGTCGTATATTCACTGCTACGAAGCATTCAACGCATGTGAATTGTTTTAATCTTCTATTACAAAACGCAGTCGCGTCCTATAGCATATGCAGGTCGTTCCTACTCCTTATCTAAAACGCATAGTTTCGACGTCCAAGACTAATTTGCATATTCCCAACTTTGAAAACGTTATAATTTTCCTGTATAATCTCTTCTTTTCTTTTGTTCAAAAATGTTATCGATTATATGGTTTATTCATACCGACCTACAATATTTATTGTTTTGAGCAGTGACTGTGACTGCATGACGTTACCCGCAGTAGAAAGAAACAGAACCTAAAACTCCACTGCAGATCTATAGAGAAATGTTTTTCCAAACCTAAGAGTCGCACTTTAATACTACTTACTATGAACGTTCGTTCGGAAATTAAATAAATTTTCACATATTACATCAACGTGGGCAAGATCCCCTAAGTCCTCTAGCATTTTTAAGTGTGGAAAGAAAAATTTGAAAGGAGCGAGTTTGAAGTAATGATAAATTTGCTTCTAAATTTCAGGTAAAAAATGCATACCTAATAATTAATTTTATTCACGTATTATATTATTATTAATAATATTAAGTGCTCGACCAAGTTGAGGTGCACGTGATTGAAGCGAGATGAGGACAAATTAAAATTTTTAAATTGGCTGGGGGTGTGTTGACAGTTTTTTAGATCTT